CACCAAGCTCCAGGGAGCAAACCCAAATGCTGCAGCCATCAGTGGGAAGCTGGGAGGAGGCATGGCCAGCTCTGTAGGGCAGGCAGCAAACAGTCCTTCTCCCATTTTGACTGCAAGTGCTGGTGTGGGAGAAGGAAGAGGGAGTGCAGGTTTGTTTATGAATCTGCTTTTCACATGCCTTAGACCAGGTCAGAGGGCTGGGTGCAGCACTATGGGTTCGAGGCCCTGTCCCACTGTCAGATCAGTGGAAGAGAAGGGATGAGCTGGAGGGAGCCACACTGCTTGCTGCAGCCGCCTGAATCCCTCTGGCACGGCTGTGCCAGCACCCTTCAGATGGGCTGGCTCCTTTGGCATGGTTAGCTCTTCCCGGCAGCGTGTGTTTGCCACAGAGCCAGGGCTAATGTTGTCACTTGTTAATGAGCATCAGCACAGCATCCAGCACCCTCCAAAGCAGAACGAAACATGTACTTGCAGGCTCCGGGCAGCACTTTGATGACCACCCCAGCAGAGGTCCATGCTCCAGCCAGCTCCCAGCCTTGCCTCTGACCTGAGGAGCTGCAGGTCTCAGGCCACTGACCCCTCCAAGCTGCTACCTCCCACATGAGTTGATGGCTCAAGCTTTGAACCAACAGCTCTGACACTCCGTCCCCTGTGCAGTCAGATGCTCAGCCCTTCAGGGAGTTGTCCTTGCAGGCAGTCGTGTCTGGGCTACCCAGGTACCCCAGATGAAATGGGGTACCTAAAATGAGGAGAGGAGGTTTGTGAAATACATAGCCCTAGGAAGTTATTTGGACCTTAGAGAGAGCAGGCAGGGAGATGTAAAGCAAAAGCTCTGCACTGGAGCTGCATGACTTCGGGCTGTTGGTTGAGGAGCAGCTCAACGGGACCCAGCAATGGGCACTTGCAGCCCAGAAGGCCAACCTTATCTGCATCAACAGGTGTGTGGCCAGCAGGTCAAGGGAGGTGATTCTCCCCTCTCGGGGGCCCCTAGCATAAGAAGTACATGGACCTGTTGGAGTAGGTCCAGAGGAAGACCATGAGGGTGATAAAGAGGCTGGAGCACCTCTCCTATAAAGACAGACCAAGAGAGTTGGGGATGTTCACCCTGGAGAAGAAAAGGCTCCAGGGAGAACTTATAGTGGCCTTCCAGTACTTAAAGGGGCCTACAGGAAAGCTGGAGAGGGACTGTTTACGAGGGCATATAGTGATAGGACAAAGGGTAATGGCTTAAAACTGAGAGTAGATTTAGATTAGACATATGTAAGTTCTTCACTGTGAGGGTGCTGAGGCACTGGAACAGATTGCCTGGTGAAGTTGTGGAAACCCCATCCCTGGAAGAGTTCAAGGCCAGGCTGGGTGGGGCTTTGAGCAACTTGGTCTACTGGGAGGTGTCCCTGCCCATGGCAGGGGGGTTGGAACTAGATGATCTTTAAGGTCGCTTCCAACCCAGACCATTCTATGATTAGTTTGCATGTGTGTGTTTGTCATTTTAATAAAATACCAGTAAATACAATATGCCTACAGATAAGAATGATGAGCACTAGCTGAGTACTTTGTGCATTAAACGTGAATGTACTGGCATTACCCAAATAACGGCATCATTATGTAAATAATGCAAGTCTCTTCACTCAGCAGTTCTTAGAGCTAACAACTCTATTTGTTTTTGGAAATATATTTTGCCTGTGATTAAGTAGGAATGCATTGACCCTTCTCCTCTAACATTTCAATACTTCTTATGTAATGTTGATGGCAACAGAACTTTACAGCTAATGTAGCTGTGCATTTTATGTCCTTCCCTTCCTTTTTCTGATTGTAGCCCAGTTAATACCACAGGGCAAATCTGCTGCTGCTGTAAGTCAGTGTTATGCCACTTGCATCATTAGTGCAAGGGTCGGGGGGTTGCCTGCAGTGTGGAACACTAATTCACTGAGTCTTTATTCAGTGCAAGAGGCATTTAATTGAACAAATTGCAAGCCGAATGCTGCCAGGCCAGGTAGTGATCTCTCCGCTGAACCTGTGCCTGCAGA